TACACCCAGGAGTTGGAGGTTGCTGTGAGCAGTGTGATGTCATAGCACTCTACCAAGGGCGACAAAGTGAGAGTCTGTCTTTACAAAAAAATAAAATAATAGCTGGGCGTAGTGACGGGTACCTATAGTCCCAGCTACTCAGGAGTCTGAGGCAAGAGGATCACTTGAGCCCAAGAGTTGGATTTTGCTGTGAGCTATGACACCATGGTGCTCTACCAAGGGCAACAAAGTGAAACTCTGTTTCAAAAAAAAAAAAAAGGACTGCTGGCTCCATAAGAGCCACATGCATGCACAAAGGACAGGCCACCTGAACATGCCAGGAAGAGGGTCCTCACCATGCTGGCAACCTGATCGTTGACTTCCAGCCCCCAGCTCAGTGAGAATATAAATGTCTGCTACTTAAGTCACCCATTCTTCCATATTTTGTTACAGGACCCCAAGAAGACTAATATACTGGGCTGCCGCCTGAAAATATCTCATATAAAAAACTGAATTGTGTGTGTGAGGGATAAGAGAACTAGGCGAGGGGGTAAGGGAGAGGATCCTCTTGTCCCTTCATAACTGAAGGGCTGGGAGAAGGGTACAAGGGTAGCCTCTTCCTGTCTTATACTCCAAATGCTCCTTAAAAAGTACAGCAAGGGTTCTCAAACACATGTTAGTACTAGAAGAAAACCTGGAGATCATCCCGGCGGAGCCCCTCCTGTGACAGATGGGGAACCAAGACCCAGAGAAATGAAGGGACTTGCTCATTCTTCTCCAGCAGAGTTTGCGAGGCAGACTAAATCCCTGCCCTAGGGCCCCAGCCCTACCTCTAAACGCTATACTTTTTGACTTTCCTCAAAACTACCTGAGCTAAAAATGCTGCCTGCCTCTCACAGGCAGCACCTGTGATGTGGCCCTGAGGAACCCTGCCCAGGAGGGCCACATCACAGGACTACACACCACAACTCCAGGAACAGACAGGCCATGTCTCCTTTCCTGTGAATGGTGTGAGCTGCTCATCTCACTGACCCACACCAGTCACTGGGGAAGTTGACAGACTGAGGTAACATGAAGTCTCAACTACTTATGAATCTGGTCATCCAGAGAGGGCCTCTGTAAGTGCTCAAACAAACAGATAAGAATCCTGAGGCAGGGTACTGACTGTGGGTACACACTCCAGTTTTATTTATAGCACAGCAGAATTCCATTTTAATGCCTCACAACTATTTAAAGTAGGCTTTTTGAGGCAGCATTTTCCTAATTGCTCCCAGAAACATCAAAGTTCTGTAACATGTTTGTAGAGGAAAAAAAAAAGCTATAATGTTTTTTCTTCTAAGATTTATTTTACAAACATGTAAGAAAAGTTCTAGATGTTTATTGTTGGTCAGATTATGCCATAACAATCTGCTTTGAAGCATATACGCTGTTCTCAACTTATCAGATGCATTCTCTCCTTTAGTTCTTAAAAGAAGGTTTAACTTCTAATTTACTTCTTGCTATATATAATTTAAAAGCAAATACTATACCTATGTAACAAACTTACTTGTGCAGATAATTAATCTGTGAAGCCCTGATATAATGTTGATTTAAATCCAAATGAGCATTTTACCTTAACTTTAACAACATTTCAAGTGAGAAGTCTGAGGAATGCTGCTTTAGGCAAAAGAGCTGTTGCCAGGACTGAGTTCTGTTTCTTTTTGCACGCTTTCAACTGCTGTTACTTTCCTTGCCAATAGGACAGAGAATAAAAGCTGGCTCAGCAGTCCTTCTTCAGGACCTGTCACCCACCTGCCAGCTTCCTATCTCCTACCCTGGGGCAGATGAATGCTTTTCTTAAAATGTATTCTAGACCACTGCGTGATCCTCTAGCAAACTCTTTATAGAGCTGTAAGCTTCAGTTCAGATATGACCAGATCATCAAAATTTGAAGTTTACTAAGGTCTATTTAGTAGATTAGGAGATTTGTTTTTCTTTTACAAGCATGGTGTGTGCCCTGTGAATGAATAGTCTTCCCCTTTTCAATCTGGTGGTGTCATCTAGAATCAGACTAGCCTACAGACAAAGATGCCAGAGCTGGACTGGGTTAACTTTATCCATTCATTTGCCAAACACTTTACTTACTCTGGGCTGGCCTGGTGGGAGGACACAGAGGTAACAACATGAAGACACCTGCTCATTAAGAGCTCACAGACTAGAAAGAAAAATAAAACACACACAAAAAAACACTGTATGTACACGGCAGAAAAATAAGGCGTAACCTATAACAGGGCACAGGACCTCAGAGGATGGAGCTGTTCCGGTGGCCACAAGATTTACAAATTCATTAGTTGTTTACGGAGGGAATGGTGTCAGGCATGGTAGAGGGCACTGGGGAAACGCTGGTGAACGAACCAGACAAGGTCCCTGCTCTCATAGAGCTTACACTCTAGCAAAACAAATTAAGAACAAGATATTACAGTCCAGTGTAGAGGTGGGTTGAGGGGTAGGGGGATTTGGCATTATACACACAATTCACTTCAATACAAGTATTTGTCTAAAAAAGTTTAAAAAAAGAAAGAGGAGGAAGAGAGAGGGGAAGACAAAGAAGGGGAGTTGGGGGGGGGAGAGAGACAGGGAAAGAGAGCAAGAGAAAGAAAAAAAGAAAAGATAAGCAAAAAGACAACTGTAAGTTGTCTGGACCATTTCACTTGCCCCTCCTTCCTTCCCTCAATGGACACAGATAGGCAGGAGAGCCTGGGTGACCTTGTGCCTTTGCTGCTTCTGTGGCTTGTCTCTGTTCTCACGCTCCTAAAATGAGCTTCCTACCTAAGCATAATTCTAACATCCAAAAATAAGTGATTTTTGTACAACGTGGCCCTAACTGCAGGCCAACTACTACACCTGGTGTTCAACCAAATAAGCAAGAACTGACTGCACGGGACAACACAATCTTGGTCTTCAACATAGCACCTTCCTTGGGGTTTCCAAGAGGAATTTTAATTACAATCAATTTTTATCTTAACCCTGGAATGAGCCAAGACTCCTTCAGGACAATACAGTGGAACACACAGGAGCCCATACCCTGGTTCTGGAAGTTGAGGATTGTCTCCTGGAGGGGCCCCTTAAATAACTAGAGGATGAGGGGAAAAAAGAAGGGAAGACGGAGGCAGCAGGAGAGAGGACTAAGAGAAGTAGGTTGTTGGGGTTAGGAACAGCACTGGGAGGACTCTGGGAAGATGGTGACATCAAGACAGATCCAGGGGGCTCAGCGCCCGTAGCTTAGTGGTTAGGGTGCCGGCCATATGCACCGGTGCTGGTGAGTTTGAACTCAACCAGCGCCTGCTAAAATGACAATGACAACTAGGACAACAATAAAAGAAATATCCAGGTGTTGTGGAGAGCACCTGTGGTCCCAGCTACTTGGGAGGCTGAGACAAGAAGAATTGCTTGGGCCCAGGAGTTTGAGGTTGCTGTGAGGTATGATGCCACGACACTCTACCTTGGGTGACAAAATGAGACTATCTCAAAAAAAGATCCAGGGAACTAGACAACAGAGGGCAGGGAAGAATGGGGAAAACGGGCCAGAGACACTGCGTGGAGATTAGATCTTGACCAGCCTCATAAGCTCTCAAAGGAGTTTGGAATTTATTCCAAAGGCAATGCAAAGCTCTGGAAAGGTTTCAAGCAGAGAATCAAATTTACATTTGTGAAAGTTCATCCTAAAGCACCAGAAAAGATGCCCAGCGTCACTAGTCATTAGGGAAATGCAAATCAAAACTGCAGCGAGATACCATTTCACACTGGAAAATAGTTAAATGGTGAAGATGTTGAAAAAATAGAACCCCTATACATTGCTGCTGGGAATGGAAAATGATACCACTCCTTGGAAAAACAGCCTAGAAGTTCCTCAAAAGGTTAGTAACCATATGATCTAGCAAGTCCACTTCTAGGTATAAACCTAAGAGTAATGAACACACAAAAAACTTATAAATGAATGTTCACAGCAACATTATTCATAATAGCCAAAGTGGAAACACAAATGTCCATTAATTACAAATGGATAACTAAAAGGGGGCATATCCATACAATGGACTATTATTTGGCAATTAATAATTATTCATTTCATTAAAAAAGGAAATACTGACATACATTACAACATGGACGAACCTTGAAAATATGTTAAATGAAAAGAAGCCAGTCATAAACAGACACATTTATACAAAATGTCCAGAATAGGCAAATCCATAGAGATGGAAAATAGATTAGTAGTTGCCAGAGATTAGGGGAAGAGGGAATGAGAAATGACTGGTAGTGGGTACAGGGTTTCTTTTTGGTGACCAAAGTATTCTAAAATTGATTATGGTGATGGTCACACAACTCTGGTAAAGCATATGCTTATATAAATTATATCTCAATTAGCCTGCTAACAACAACAAAAGCTGTCTTGGGTACAGTGTGCAAAATAGAGAGGACAGGACAGAGACCAGTAAGAAGGCTACTACCCAGATGGAGCAGGATAGGACAGTGGTCGAACTCAGGAGAGACTCCTGACAGAGGTGGAGGGGTTGCATGAGGGGAGTTTACTTCTTGTGGTGGGCTTCACAAGTTCTCCTGGATACCTGGTACCTCTCCAAAGGAGGAAAGTGGGAAACAGAAATGAGGTATCTGCAATTATTATCAAGCAGCAAAAATGTATATAAAATCTCCTACATATCAAGACTAAGAGGAATACAAAAAAGTGTGTAGCCCTGCTGCCTAGATGTAGAGGGAGCATCCAGAATAAAAGCACCCTAAGGGGTCTGCCAGGGGACTGTCCTGACTGTTCATCTTCACTCTTAAACTGCAAAGAAAAGGCCTGGGCATTTGGTGCATGCTCAAGAGATTCCAAGATTTGAGTGTCCAAGTGTCGGCTGGGGAGTAAGAGAGGATGTCTTCCCTGTGTGAGGGCTGAAAGGCCATGGGACAAATGGGCCTGAACTACTGGTAAGGGCCATGATTGGGAAACAAAAAGTCAAGTCTGCAAAGGAGCATATTCTAACCTTCAGAAACCATGTTGACGGAGACCCTGACCAAAAGACACCTTTGTCCCATTAGTAGAACCAGACTATAACAGGACAGGGATGAGCCCCTGCCCCAAACCTCATGCACACCCTGCTCAGCCATCTCCTTGACACTTCCTCCATTTGCAACAGAACCAGTGCTAGCCAGCTCTCTGCAGTGATGGCTTTGGGAACACTAAAACACCACTGAGATGCACCAACAAGGCCAGTAGCACTGAAACTAGCCCATTCATTTGCTAAAAGGGGAAACTGAGGCCCAGGTCCATGGAGCAGAGCCAGGAATTAGCATCCATGTCTCTGACTCTCAGGCCCACGCAGTTCTTACTCTGTAATTTCCCAAATCTGACCCCACCTAAGAACCTAGCTCTTAGCTGTGTGCTTCAAAGGGCAAGATCTGAGCAAGAAATCTCAGAAACTTTAGGTCTCACCCAGCAGAGAAACTTGAACTACCTCTAGAACCACCCCTTCCCTAGAATCCTATTAGGGAGTGGAAACATATCATGGTTATATGCTCTAATCTTTCTAAAGGGAGGAAACAAAAGCAGGTTAACAAAAAAATACAGGACAATACAGTTTTTGTTGCAGCCCCGAAGACCTACAGCCCTTTACTTTATCAACAACAGCAGTCTGCACTTTCTGGCACCACAGTGTAGTCAACTATCAGTGTGATTATTAGCTCAGTCAGACGTAAACATCTCAAAGATTCAGGGTTGCAGCAGGTGCAGAACACTACACTCCAGCCAAGTGAAGAGCTGAGACATCATAAAAGGGACAAAGGCTTATTACTATCTTCAGCTCCTAAGTATTAGTGAACCAAAGCCAAGCACTATTTTTTAAGCCTGCACAGGAATACAAAATTAAATACGAAATAAAAATCAAGAAGGAAAACAAAATAATCTATCTCCTTTCCGTGATAAAATAATCTGAAAGGAGTCTAAAAGTAAACTAAAATTTTTCTAACTATTATCTGCCAGTTTTGAAGAAGTCTTTAGGTGCCACAAGTTGCAGACAGAAAAAATAAATATTGATGTGTCATTTCCAAAGTTAAACAACAGTACTCCATCTCAGATGGATGGACTCTTTTTCCTACAGTGGCCAAAAACCAAGTTGAACTCTATGTACAACAAATAGACTATACAATTAGGAGCATTTAAAAATAATGAGACTCCTCTCTTTGCCTTCTTCCAAAGTATATAATATATATTTAACAGCACAAAAGAAGACACCACTTGAGCTTCCCCTGTAGCCAACAGGAAGAATTTCCACATATAAAATTAAAACTTTTAAATCATTAATATTTTAAAACATAATACAGACTTAAAAATTGTTTAACATTAACCCATAACCCCACCCCTAGCACAAAAATCAACCCCAATCCAGAAGTCATAGTTTTTTGTTTCTAAAAATCCCACAACACTGAACTTGATCTTCACATCAAGCTGATAGCTAATAAGAGGCCCCTACATTAGAAATCCCGGAGGGAAGAACGGAAGCACGATCAATGCTGCATCTCTTATCTACCTGGGCGGCACTGGTGCACCTCTGAGGTCAGGTCCGTGAGATTCTCCCCCACACTAGGGTCCTGGAAGGGTGAGCTGGCAGCTTCCCTCATCTTCCCCCTCGAAGGCTGTCCAATAAGCACCTGGGAATTGACTTTTCTTGGGAAAAGGGTGCTGGTAACAGCTGTCAGGGCCAAGGCAATAGTGAGAAGTTCAGTTCTCTGCTCTTTGGATGAACTGTGTAAAACATTTCTTTAAAAGACACAATGTTAAAAATATTAAGAAAAAGTCTACAAAATCTGGAGGGTTGCCTTTTTCTCAAAGGGTAAAGCTTGTGGGGTTGTGGGAAAAGAATCAAGGGCCCAGAACTATAAGTCTGCAGCAAAAGATAGAGAGATGCCCTTCAAAGCTCGTCACATTCTCAAGATGTCTTGCTGAATCAGCAAGAGCTGAGGGTGACTGTGTGAGTAGGAGTGAGAGGGTACCAGCTCCTGAAGGGGGAGGGTCCTACTACGCACCCCACCCTGTGCAGGAGCATCAGGCTTTGGGGCAGCTGCCATAGGCCCCAGGGCATCAGGACTCTGCCTCTGAACCAGAGCTGCTTTCCCGACTAACTTCAATCTGGAGAGATGGTAAGTTATCTAACCGGCTCTTCTTTTGACGAGATTGCTCTTTCTCCTTAATCAGAGCCCCCCATGCCCTTTGTAGCTCGGAGTCATCTTCCTCAGTGCCAGGCACCCTGTGATCCACTTTCTTCATATTCTTTTCTTTGGTCTTGGGTGCGGATCCTAAGCGAGTCCATAAGCTACCTATTTGGGCGAGACAACATTTCAGTTTGACAATCAACACCAAGAACCAGGGTAGTGCAGGAAATGCCAGTAGTCTATGGTACTTAACCTATTTCCTTGACTACAGCCCCTTTTACAAACAAAGGGGTCTGGACCCAATGGGAGATTCTCATTGTTGAGGTAGACACATCAGAATCACCTGAGAGGCTGTTTCCTCCCACACCTGCCCTCCCTGCTGAGATACCACCCTGCGTGCCACTTCATTGTGCTAGAATCAGCCAATTCCCTAATCCTTTCCAGCTCTAAAATTCTGAAAATTGATGGCTGGGCTGTTTACATGGTAAGCTTTCAGAGATTGTGCTCATTATCCATTAATTTTTAAAATATATCTTCCAAAAAAACTAAACAAAATAGAAATGCATGTTTAGAATTTTGTGGAATAGTCGCACCATTAGGCAATTAAAACTGTTATTTATGGGTTGGGCATGGAAGATCACGCCTATAATCCTAGCACTCTGGGAGGCCAATGCAGGAGGATCGCTTGAGCTCCAGACTTTGAGACCAGCCTGAGCCAAGAGTAAGACCCTGTCTCTACTAAAAATAGAAAAATCAGTCAGGCATGGTGGCAGCCACCTGTAGTCTTAGCTACCAGGGAGGCTGAGATAGGAGGATCGCTGGAGCCCAGGAGTTTGAGGTTGCTGTGAATGAGGCTGACACCATAGCACACTACCCAGGGAGACAGAATGAGACTGTCTCAAAAAAAAAAAAAAAAAAAAGTTTTATTTATGAAGAATGTAACAATGTGGAAAAATGATTATGCTGCATAATTATTTGCTGGTGTAGGAATAAAGCTGCATATGTATATGAACAATGACTGGAACAGAACACATAAAACCAAAAAGGATTTGTGCTAAAGAACCAGGAGTATGTTGTTTTTCTTCCATTTTTTAAACTTTCCTTAATATTAGCAATATGTTGATAAGATAGATGCTGATGATGACAATAATCATACAGGAAGAGGGAAAAACCATTTATATTTGGCATTTATTGTTTTCCCCCTTCTAAGAAAGTATTCTATGCTATACTCTATCCTTTGCTCTTACCCAATACCCATCAGTCTTGAGTATTACCAACCTGATTTCTTCTCCCGAGTATCGGAGTAGAGGCCTTTAATATCTTGTCTGGGAATACCTAGCCTACTATGTACATCAGAAGAGGGCTCTCTTCGAACAACTGGATTGCTACTAAAAGCCTTTTCTGGAGAATACGGTCTTTTCCCTAATCGCTGACGTATATCTGGAAAAAGAAAAGAAGTACTGCTGTGACCAAATGTGTGTGCTCTAGTCTCTGTGCTGAGACTGTGAAAGAATCTGACAGCAATTCTCCTAGAGTCAGGGTGCAGGGCCCGACAGAAGCAGGCTTCTATCATATCAGTTGGACACAAGGCATATCAGGGGAAAAAAATCTTCAGCCAATTGTTTCAGAAAGAAATTTCTGAAGCAGAAACAACTTTTTGGGGATAAAACCTAGCAGACTCAGTAATTTACAAAATTTCAGCTCACAAACAATACTGTGAGCTCCATGAGAGCAGAAGGCACAACCTGGGAACAAATAAGTAGTTCTCAGTACACTTATTACATTGAATTAGTAAATGTAATGAGATTGGCAGAAAGCAAAGGATCAAGGTAAGATATCCCAAACCAAATTTGTTTTTCTCTAATCCTCCTCAGAAATCTGTCTGTCCTCTTTTGAGTGCCCCCTAATTACAGTAACACATACACATTCTTTAGCAAGGCCTTACCATGGGCTTTTGCCCATGTCGCATTAGCTTCTCCCAAAGAGCAGTGCCCCATCTCTCTGGTCACTTGGGCTTGAGCTCCTTGGCTTCTTTCCCTTTCCTCCCTAATCCCCAGCACTAACTCAGGCTTCTCAGACAGGATTCCTATTCTCATCCTGTTCTGTCTCCACTGCCTCTGACCTAAGTTACTTAACTCTCTACCCTACCCCAATCCCTCCCAATTTATCTTTCTAAAAACAGATATAAGATCAATAGATATAAGATCACCTAAAAACTCAGGTTTGCCAACTGAGAATTTTTTTTTTTTTTTGAGACAGAGTCTCACTATGTCGCCCTGGGTAGAGAGAGCGGTGGTGTCACAGCTCACAGCAACCTCAAATTCTAGGGCTTAAGTGATTCTCTTGCCTTAAGCCTCCCAAGTAGCTGGGACTACAGGCGCCCGCCACAACGCCCGACTATGTCTATTTTTTTGTTGCAGTTGTCATTATTGCAGGCCCAGGCCAGGTTCGAAACTGCCAGCCCTGGTGTATGTGGCTGGTCCCCTAACCACTGAGCTATAGGTGCCAAGCCCTAACTGAGATTTTATTTCCTCTCCAAGGCCTAGCTGTAAGGCCACTTTCTCTAAAAGGCCTTCCACAATTCCCCTAGTAGGTCCTATGATGGTTTTGTATCCTCTCCAAAGACTCACAACATTACAACATTCCCAGCAACTAGCAGGCAGGGCCAAATATCTATGAACTTGAGTGTCTGCACATAAACTTAATTTCTATTATTCTTGTGTATGAAGGGCACCAATGACATACAGAGTAAAATGCCCTCCTTACGTGTGCATTCCACATTAATGGAGTCAACCAACCACAACTGAATGTACAGTAGAACCTCCATTGTTGACCACCTCCCAACACGA